AGAAAGTTGATAATTTTTAAAAAATGAGTTTTGTGTGAAGAATATAAACATAAATATTTCTTTTCTCATTGGCAATAACAATATGAAAAAAAATTTGCAATATGTAACTGTACTAAAACTAGTTGGTTTAATAAACATTTTTAACTCCTACAAAATAAATATTTTTAACTTTATTTGAAAATTTCATAATTTTAATAAATATTATTCAACCTGCCCAAAAACTAAAAGATTTTTTCTACCCACATATATATGAATTAAGATTTATTTATAAACAACTTTTACATATATTATTTATATAAAATTTTAAATATGTACCTTTTATTATGAATAATTAGAATTTATTCACATTTTATATTATTTTTTAAAGATAATATTTATATATGTATGTATGTTGCATAAATGTCTTTCTAAGTAGAAAAACTTCTACGCAAACATTTTTAATAAGACTTAACTTTCATGCTTATTTATTAATAATATTTTAATAAATTCTATATTTAAACTCTTTTTTTTTTTAGTTTGTATTGAAAAACAACAAATTGTGCGGACTATTTTCTGGCGCAGAGAGATCAACGGTCGCGTTCTCACCGGAGAGAATTGCGAGGATGAGGCCGTCCAATGCGAGAAGTGAGGACTGAGATTTTGCTTTTTAACTATTGGATGCCTCAGGTGGGCTTTAAGGCCCAGTATTTTTTGGCTTGAATTTTTTTTGGAGCAAAGGGCCTGATTAGGCCCTGGGTTTGGAAAGTTCATTTCACTTGAAAGATGAAATTTTTTTTATCTATGATTGTGGGCCTTAAAGAAGAGTACAAAGTCCAATTAAAATCCCACCAAACCCCCCCCCTAAAAAAGGATAATTATCCAGGTTACCACACAGCGTTCTTTACGGTGACAATCCCCGATAATCTGAACAGGGGCAGTGCTAGGGGCACTCGCCTCCTGCACTCTCCGGCCAACACTTCCCCTTTCATTGGGACACGTTATTTTAGTTTGTGAGAGGTTACACTTCAATGCCTAAACAACCTTAGGTGGCCCAATGAAAGGGGAAGTGTTGGCCTGAGAGTGCAGGAGGCAAGTGCCCCTAGCATTGCTCATCTGAACAGATAATTAGTAGTTGGTAAATTATTTAATTAAGTATTGAA